TATCATAATTTTAAAAAAAATTCATAAATTACCTTTAACTCAAAATATCTATTTTATTCTTCTTTAAAATTTGGTGAAACAAGTTGATAATTTTAATTTATGTTTACTTTGACTCGTCCTATCTAATTCGTCACCATCACTATAATTAGATCAAGAATATTTATATATTTTTTAAAATTTTTATATATTGAAATAAATTAAAAATATTATATTTTTATATTATGTTATTAAAATATATAAATATATTATAATATTTTAATTTAAATTATAGATATTAATCAATTAAATTTAAATTATAAATTATAATTAATTATTTTAATATATAAATATAATAATTTTTAAAATTTATCTATTAAAATATTAGTTAATAAATAAAAATTTAAAAAATATTTATATAATTAAATATATATTTTTAAAAAATAATATAAAAAAATATATTAATGATCTGACTTACTAACTCGTCAATTAGATATATTAAAATATATAACTTGTCCTTAATCAAATCAACTACTTTATTCTTAACGAAGTAAAACTAAGCGAATGATAACAAAACGGGATAACATGTTGACATCGTACACCCATATTCCTTGTACTTTCTCATTTCCCCTATCACCGAAAGGGATAACAACATATAGAAATAACCTACTATACTTTTCAACATACTTTCCATCTCCGTTCCAATATAAAAATCAGTAGTATATAATTTAAATTCTTTTTATATTTGGTATAAATTACATTATAACTAATTTGTATTTATTTTTAGAAACAAGTTAGAAATACAACTCAAGACTTTATCCCAAAACATCCAATAAGCGTACTTGATGCATGAATCTCCTCTAACACAAAAATAATTGTTATAAGATACAAATATTTCATATATATATATATATATATATATATATATATATATATATATATATATATTATTTAGTGTTTCATAAAAATTAATATTTGTGTCATCTCGTGTAAATATTCTATGATTCAAAATACATATATGAAATATCTTATTAGTAGTATTCATTGCAAGATGAATAGGAAGAATGTTTCGTGGATAGATGAAGTAAATAGAGTTGTGGCCAATCATCCAATTGTTATCAAAGATATCTATTAAAATAGGATGAGTCTAAGATTTGGAGTATTTGAGAGACAAGTATATAGTTTTTCCTTAGTCTTCATCAAATAGGATCACCTTAAGGGCATAATTTTAGTTTTTATATTTTTATAATTTTTTATTATTTATTAATAATATATTATTTGATATCCTAACATCATTAGACAACATTTATATCTACGTTTGTGGCTACTTAATGAATATGAAAAAAAAACACTTAACTGTACTAACCTATTTGAATAAACAAAAAATAAAAAAAATATAATGACTTATCAACACATTTATTTTTAAAAATACTCAATTTATGTTATAATTTAAACTTCAATTTCCTTCACTAATCAAATTTTCCTCACAAGTTTAAATTTTTGTACAAATCCAACGGCTTATACAAGTTCAAGAAGAAGATAAATAAGCACAATAACAAATCATATTATTTGTATATTTTTTAAATATTACTCTTTTTCTTAATGTTTTGAGACAAAATACTTTGAAAACAAATATTTTTCAAGTAATATTTTATAGTTGTTGTATTATTTAAATTTATATTATCATATTTTATTTGTAATTACAATTGAAAATATAAAATGTTTTACACATATATATTCACCGATTGCATTTAATTTTCTATTATCATCATTTAAAACTTAAAATACTCACTAAAATCAAGTATTGTCTTAAAGTGAGTCTCAACTTAAAAATAATCGAAATAATTTTAGTTTCAAGTGAGCCTTACTCGATCATAGAATCATCACTGGAAAAAAAAAGAGTCACTAACATGGTATTCGCTTGTACAAATCTCATATACATACTTATACGTAAGTAATAGTTTATATTTATGTAAATATGATTTAAGCGACAAAAGTCTTGCTTAAATAAGAACAATACATTTCAAATGTAAAACCACTTTACATATCTATAATAAATCTTATCGCTTCAATTTTGCTTAAGCTAAATTTACTTAAAGTGATATAAGTTCCATTTAAATCAATCTCAAACAAGTTTTTATATACATAAACTAGTACGATTTTTATGAGATAAGATTTTAATTAAACTAATAAATTTACGAGAAATATGTATATATTTAGGATAATATTGTTTTTGTTATTAGTGATGTATTGGGAAATTTGTATCTAATTTTATCATAAATTTTATATTAGTTTATGACATATTTTATCCTGCACCTAAAATATATATTATTTATAATACCTATATTTAAAATTTCAGAACTTCGTAGGTATTTGTATGTGAAAATTATCCCATACTAAGATGGATACATCATCCGCACACACACTATAAAGAAAGAAGCAAATACACCAAAAACATAGTCATGTCATGAGTGTGTGTGTTTGAAAAATAAAAAAAATGAGAAGACATAATGTCTGTGCCATTTGCTGGCTTTCTTGTCATAGTTGCCTCATGGTCCAACATTGTTATTCAATTATTGATCTATATATAATATAGTTCTTTAAAAAAATGTAAAAAAAAAAATGTTCTACTTAAAATTATCGATGGAAACTAAGTTACGTTTACGAAGTATTACTTTCGTTTGAAAATGATCTGGATCGGACCGGTTCAATTAATTTAATTATGAATTAGTTTAATAAAATACTATCCACTAATATTATTAAAATACAATTAATTTTCTATTATGAATATTTGTCACATTAATATTTAAAATTTAATAATTTTTAATATTATTTTTATCAAAACATTAAATAACAGTTTCTCTGACTATAATTTCACTGTACAATAGAATCTTCAAAAGGAATTCTTAATAGTTTAACAATAAAAAAAATATTTTATCATAAATTTTTTTGAATTGTTTAAATTTTTTATCAGAATTATGTATATATTATTTTATTTCTAAATAATTTTTTCTATTTAACACATGAAATTCATAATATAATATTTATTGTTATTTCTAAATAATTCTTAATAGTAACTTTTTTTATTATTAGCTTAATATTTATATTGATAAACATATATTTACAATATTTTATAATTTATTAAAATTTGTTATTTTATTTATATATTTTTTAAAATTATTTTTATAATTAGTTTCTCACAAATAATTTAATTTTTTTATCATATTTTAAAATAATTAAAATAGATTCTCATAAATAGTTTATTTTAAATAATATTATAATTTATATCTAAAAACTATATTTTTAAAATAAATAAATTATTTAATATATATTAAAATATTTTTAACTAAAATTAAACTTTTAAAAATTATAAATACTTTTTTAGTTAACTAAATAATATATTTTTTAATAATAAATATTATAAAATTTAATATTTTAATAAATAAATTAAATTTTAAATTTAAATTTATTTTTTATATTTAATAAATCATTAAATTGATATTTATATAATCAATTATTTTTCATGTTAATTAATAAATTATTAGATATTTATATTATTTATCATTTTTAATTTTTTTAACTTAATTTAAATATAAAATATGTATATTATTTATATTTAGATTAAATTATATCATTATTTAAGATAAATCTTTAGATATATTTTAAATAGTTTCGAAGTATAATTTTAAAAAAATATAATTATTTTTTCTTTAAAATAATCTGTGAAGAAATATTTAAAAATATATATAAATAAAGAGTACAGAATAAATTAAACTTTAACAATGAAAAAAATAAAAATAATATATATATATATATATATATATATATATATATATATATAATAAATATTGTACATAACCAGTGGATATTTGAACTCGGTGGGTGAGCCTTTTATCATTCTGTCAGAAACATAAGAAAAAAGCCAAAAAAGGTAAGACATTATAATGTCCAGTCAGTACCATCACCAGACAATAAAAACCGAGTGGAAGACAACCTACAACCTTATTTTATTATTTAATAATAATATTATTATATAATAAAATATAATATGAATGGATTATATACTAACACTTTTTTAATGAAATTATTAAATAATATATTATAATAAATATAAAAATAAAAAATATTAAAAATGAAAGATTAAATTTATAAATATAAAAATAAATTTACTTAATTATTTTGAGAATCAAAATTACAAATACAAATATAAATTACAAAATTTTTGAATTATATTTTTCTTACTTCTTAATGAGTTCAAATAATTTAATAAAATATAAATTTATATGTCCTATTATTTTTAAACAATTTATTACTAATTTTATTTTATTATATTTTTTAAATTATTTACTAAAATAATTATAATTTTTTAAAATAACTTAGTATATTAAATAAGATTTCTTAAATAAAAAATTTAAACATCTATTAAATAACTTTATTATAAATACTTTAAAAAAAATTGATTATAAAAATAAAGACAACATATGCCAACATAGATAAAAAGAATTAATAATATTGTGATATCATACTATTACAGTCATGTATCATTATTTATAAGCATTGACAACTTTAATATAATAATAAATAATATTATATTAATAGAAACAGATGTACATTAGTATTTGGGTGGTAAAAATATTTTTTTTTTCTAGTTATTTTTCGAGAAAGTTTTGAACCAATGCAAGAAAGGTGTGGTCTACATTATCTGATCTACCATGATAAAGAAAAAGGATAAATACTATTACCCTATGAAAAAATTCTAAAAGTTCCATTTAAAATTGTAAAAAAATTAAAAAAACAAGGAACAAAAATAAAAAATCAAACATCTGAAAAGCTGTATGTGTTTGGATATGAATTTCACTTTAATTATTAGATCCAATTAATCAAACTTATGTTCTGGACTGCCCAATGATCCTTTTCTGCGGAAATTTAAATTTACTCGCTGATGAATCTAAGATACAACAATTCGTCATGGATCTGAACTAAAGTAAACCAAAAGGAAGGATTTTGCCTTGTACCCAGAATAGCTAGTTGGAAATGGCGTCCATGAGCTCGGGGTCACTTCCGATTGCCTCCAAAATCTCGTAGGCGAGACACACTTCAATGTCCATAGAACCTTCTTCGGCGCCAGCAAACAGACTAATCTTTCCGTTAGTCTTATTTGCGCTGCCACTTCTTACTGCCACGGGCTTTCCCCACCCAAAATCATTACAGTAAACGTTGAACCTGGGAGAACTGCTAATGGCCAACGATGTACTAGAAGCCAGGCCCATCGTTATCAGCGTAGGAGTTCTCACCCAAGACTCATAGTGGTTCTCTATCTTCTCATGAGAGTGCAAAGAAATCATCTTGTTTATCTCCAAAGCACCCTTTCCAATCCCACCTTCCAATAGCTCCCCAGCTTTCATGGTGACAACACCAACCAACGACGCGTTTCCAAAATAATCTTCTCCCAGGGGTGGAACCATTCTGGGTCTAGCTCCAATCAGCAGCACGTACCTAACCTCTTGTTGTGGCTCCAAGTGTTGGCAACGAACCACAGAGCGCCAAAGGAGAGTTAAAAGAGCTTGCAGAGAAGATATTTTGCAGGTGTTGGCCTCTGCGTTGGCTTTTGATTTCAGTTCCGCGATTTTTTCCTTCGTGAAATGGAAGATCCTCTCAGGTAGAGTTTGTGGTTTGAGGTTTGGGGAGTGTTGTTTTTCTTCTTCCTCTGTGAATGGAAAGTGTATGGGGTGGTGAATGCCATCGGGAAAGTAACGTTGGAGAGATGGGAGTTCGGATATTTGAAGGGAGCCACGTGAGATTTCAGCCCACGAATTCACGAAACGCCACAAGGACTTGCCGTCAGCAACGACGTGGTTGATTGTGAAGGCGATGAAGACGCCGTCAAGCAGCTCCGTCACTTGCACTGCCAGCAGTGGCTGTGAAGTACCCTCGTAGTTTTTAACGCCGTTGAGTGAAAAGAAGGATTGAACAATGGGAGGAACGTATTTGGGTTGAAGGATGTGAGCGAGGGTGGTGTTGTGTGCAACGGCGTGGACAAAGAGGACACCAGCGTTGTTGCATAGGATGTGGGATGAGACAGCGTTGCTGTGATGGAGAATGACAAGACGACCTGCGAGGAGGGGAAAGAAGGCAAGAGTTGAGGAAAGGGAGTGTTGGAGATGGTGGATTTGGATTGGTGTGTGTTTTTGGGTGGAAAAAAGAATTCCTTTTTGGATGTATTGAACGGGGAGGAATTGAAGATCCCAGGGAGTTAAGTGGATGTTTTGAGGTGCGTTACGGGTAGTGTGAGTGTGAGTGTGAGTGTGAGTAGGTGGTGCTTTGATTGTGGTAGTGGAGATGACTTGGACGCCTTCCATGATTTCAGTTTTCTGTTGATGTTTCTGCACTTCACGCTTGCTGCTCGCCGGAGGAATCACGATTTGATTAACTAAACAAAATAGATTGACAATTCCCCGTTAACAAATATCTACTCAACAACTTTATTTGTTAATAAAATATTTTTTTAATTCATTTTATTTTAGATCAATCATTTTATAAATATAATATTAATAAAAAAATCACTTATTCTTACATCAATATTTTTAATCAAAATAATTTTTCATTTCATATTAAAAAATTTGAAATATATTTTATCACATTCACTTGTATTAAATAGGAGTGATTTAATATTAATCAAATCGAGAATTTAATAATTTATATTAATTCAATATTGAATAATTTAATTTATCATTATTAATAATTAATATTTTAATATTTTTAAAATTAACTATAACAGGAGGAGGAGTGAAGTATAATTCTTTTCTAGTGATTATATTTTGACAACTTCAAAGAAAAAAATATCCAATAAATAATAATATAATAATGAATTCTATTATTATACTATCAAAAGGAATGTCTATCCGATGTTTTTTTGTCAAAATATCATTTGTATTTTTTTTATTTCATTTGTAATATTATACCTGTTCATGATAAAGACACGTGTGACATAATAAAGAAATACAGAGTGACTTTGGCATGCAATATATACGTACATCATTAGCAAAATGGCAATTCATTAATTCTTTCCTGGCCTATACTTTTTTTTTCCTTTTCAACTTTTTTTTTCTATAATTATTTCCTCACAATTAACTTAAAAAATATTTTTTTAATATATCCATAAATTTATTTTAAATAATAGCATAATATAATTTATATTTAAGTAAACTATATATTTAAAATCAAATAATTTTCAATATATTTAAAATATTTTATGTTCTAATAAATATTTTAAAAATTATAAATGATTTATTTAATTAATTTGATAATTTTTTTATAATACGTTATAGAATTTAAGATTTTTAATAAAAAATTAATTTTTAAATTTAATTGTCTCTTTTCATATTTAATAAACTGTTAGGTTGATATTTACATAATTAATTATTTTCACATCAGCCAATAAATTATTACATCGGCATTTATATTATTTATAATTATTAAAATATTCATTTTAATTTAAAATAATTTAATTATAAAATATATATTTTATTTAGATCTATACTACATTATTATTATTATTATTTAAAATATATCTTTAGATATATTTTAAATTATTATAATTTTTTTAAAATATATTTGTTTATAACTTGGAAGAAAATAGTTAGACAGAAAATAAAAGAAAAGAGATAAAGTGTATGTGACAAAAACTGTAATAATAAAGAAAGAGAAAAAAAAGTTAGATGAAATACAATGGATTACTCAATTTGAAGTGATTGTATTTAAACAAACAATTTGTTTGCACGTACTAAAATTAGTTGAGATAATTTAGTTAAGTATATAAATAAAAGGATAATGAGAATAATTTTTTATTCAAAAGGGGTAAATGAAAAAAATAATTATATTTTAAAGTATTTAATTCAAAATTTATATTATTATTTATTAATATAATGTAATTATTATAATAAAAATAAAAGTGTAAAATATAAAACAAAATACAAAGTCATTATATACAATTATGTTGATGTATTGAGATATTTATATTGTGTTTCTATCAGCAGATTTACTTTTAAATTGGTGGATAAGCGTGAATTGTTATTGTTTGTATGCGCCAATTTAAAGAAAAAAGCATGAATGAATTTGAGTGGACAAGGCTCATCGCTTACTTGAGGAGAAAAGTGAGAAAATGAAGGGGAAGGAGACTGAACTTACATTCTTGTCCTCCTCTCAAGAATCTATAATAGTGTTATTATTGCTTCTTCATGTGGCTCTGTGCATGCGTGCAGCGAGCCAAAATATCGTTTTAGAAGCTGCATGCATTCCTTTCATGCAGGGAATCGTGATTGTGCTTGCAAAGGGTATAATTGCAGCTCAACCTCAACCCTCACGTACAATTATAGTGGTGTGCCTGTCCCAGCAAGCGAGAGTGTCATTAAATACACATAAGAAGTCGTTCATGGAGGTGAGTTATTCTTTCGTGTGTAAGGTGAGTTCGTGTGGTTCGTTTGTGAGAGGTGAGTTCGTTGAGGTTGGTTTAGTGTGTGTGGTGTGTGTTGGTGGTGGTGCTTGATCGAGAAACTGGTGGAGAGAGGCGAAGAGAATCACAGAAAATCGATTTTTGCTTCTTTGAACTCATGGAAAATCGATTCTCGCTTATTTCACACATGGAGAATCGATTCTTCCTAAGACCAAAATCGATTCTCAACCTCGTTTTACGTTAATGCATGTGATCATTGATGTCTGTTACCTTGGTTTGTAGGTTGTAAGTGGTTCTCCTTCGATGTGTGGTCGTGGAGTTGTAGTGTTGGTGTTATGGTCGTACTGGTGTTGGTGCTGGTCTGTGGTGAGTTATGGGTGTTGTTGTCTTGAGTTTACGCCTGGTCTTCATGGCCAGTTGGGTGGTGGAGGTGTTGTTGCTAGTGTGGGTGTTGCTGTCGTGAGTGGAATGCGTGGTGTTGGTGGCACGAATGGTGAGTTGAGTGGTGGTATTGCTGCTTGTTAAAAAAAAATGATTATCCCCTCTAGCCAAATCGATTCTCAATCACGTTTTATGTGGAGGAATATAAATTCTCGCATGTGCATGTGATCTTATATGTATTGTCTTGGTTTGTAAGTTGTAAGTGGTTCGGTCATGGTGTTGTGGTCGTGTTACTGCTGGTCTGTGGTGAGTTGTAATGATGTTATGGCGAGTTTGCGCATGGTGTTCATTGCGAGTCGAGTGATGGAGGTGTTATTGTTGGTGTGGGTGTTGTCTCGTGAGTGGAACGTGTGGTGTTCATAGCGCAACTAGTTAGTTGGGTGTTGTTGTTGTTGTTGTCGTGAGTTCATTGTCGTGATGTTGGTTGGGAACAATGTTGTTGGTGTTGCTTGTCATGTTGTTGATGTTATTGGTGGGTGGTGTTGTTATTGTTGTCGTGAGTTCATTGTCGTGATGTTGGTTGGGAACAATGTTGTTGGTGTTGCTTGTCATGTTGTTGATGTTATTGGTAGGTGATGTTGGTGATCTGGAGAGTTGTTACATATGTTGTGGTCAGTTTGTGCTGGTGGGTGGTGCTAAGCGCGGTGCTCGGTGTGTGCTAGTGAGTTCTTTCGCGTGGTGTGGTGATGGTAGCCCCGGTGGTGATGGCAGTGGGTGGTGTTGGCAGTGGATGGTGTTGGTCCTAGTAAAACTGGCATGTGTGGTTCATTTGAAAGGTAACTTCATTGAATTAATTAAGGTTTAATTCTTATGATTATGATTTCATTTTGCCTATTATTAAGATTTATTTTGCAAAGATTTGTGTAATTTTTTTTTTACCTAAACGAGTGTTAAAATTTGTAGGCATCTGTTAGACTATAATTAAAATAGTTTGTATTAAGAAACTTAGATTAGTGTAGGTTTTTAAGTGAGATAAATTAGTTATAAAAATATTTTATTTAGGTTAATATAAAATATAAAATTCAATTAGGGTTATATTTTGTGATGTGAACATGACTTATGATAAGGGCTAGAGCAAGGGAAATAAAGGAAGTTCTTCAACAAATATTGTTGGTTGACCAAATTATGTTTTGAATTAATCAATTAATGGTTTTAGTTTGATTTTGTTTTAAGTTGTAATAAGGGCCCAATTAAAAATTTAGTCATCAGCCTTTGGAAGACCAAGGGGTGCATAGCTGATTGACTTTTGGTTGCCACAGTTTCAGATACAATCAATCATTAAGTAGTTTCAATTCCTAGGTTAATGGATCATTATTAGCCTTTATTTGTTTCCATTAAATAGTTTTCAATTCCTAGATTAATGGGTTATTATTAGTATTTATTTTCTTTTATTGAGTCTTTTGTAATTCTGATGAACGCTTCTATATCAGTTGAACCATTTTTATCAAGAAAGGACAAGTGGAATTTTATTCAGAAATATTAGAGTTTATCTCTTTTATCTTAGTGAGAGTGATTCTCCTAAATTCTTAAGTGATTCAAGAACCCTTGGCTATATCAAAGGACTATCACATCCTTTGTGTGTTGCCTCCCTTGGGAAGAGTGATTCTTTCCTTCCACCTTCTTTCTAATTCCTAAATTTTTTACAAGGTTCTAACTCTAAAGATCATAAATTATCCTTGTGATTCATATCATTTAGTTACATATTAAATATGAAATTTAATTTAAAAATTATTATATTTACGTAGATATAAAATATTAAATAAAAAATTGGATTAGGTTAATATATAATATTATAATTAATTAACATGTAATTTATTATAAATAGGTATCAATATTATATTATTTTAATTACAATTATAATTTAATTATAAATTAGATGAAATACAATGATTACTTGAAGTAATTGTATGTAAACAAACAATTTTTTTGCATGTACAATGATTACTCCATGCAACAAGCCAAAGAATAGTTTAAGAAGCTGCATGCATCCCTTTCATGCAGGGAATCGTGGTTGTGCTTGCAGAGTTATTGTTGTAGCATAACCACAACCCTTACATGCAACTACAGTGGTGTCCCTATCTCAGCAAGCAAGAGTGTCATTAAATACACACAAGGAGTCATTCGTGAAGTTGAGTTGTTCTTTCGTGTGTAAGGTGAGTTCGTGTGATTTGTGTTAGGTAATCCAAGTGTGGTTCTAAGTCTCATATTGAGTAAAAATGAGAAAGTTGAGCAATATGTAAGGAAGTATGACTCATAACCCAATGCCTTAAGGTTTTGCATTGAGAGTGATGTCAATCCTTATGTGGGTTGAGCTCTTATTTCATTGATGTTGTTCGTGTGGTTCATTTGTTAGATGTGAATTCATTGAAGATGGTTTAATGTGTGTGGTGTGCGTTAGTGGTGGTGCTTGGTCAAGAAACTGGTTGAGAGAGGCAGAGAGAATCATAAAGAATCGATTCTCGCTTC